TTTAAACCTAACCAAGTTTTAAAAAAAAGTTAAACAAATTCAACCAGCATTTGTTAATTTTAAATAATAGGAAATTCCAAATCAGTTATGAAAAGTGCTATTTTTTTATTGATTGATTATTTTAAATATATGTTTTACACATATGTATTTATGTTATAATGTGGCTTAGGAGTACCAAAGCATTAGAATGCCAATATTAGGCATGAAAAATATTCTTAAAATTATTTAATCTTCTTATTGATAAAATGTTATTATCTTTCAGGATTATTACCATGAATGTCAAGTATTATAAAGACGATGTTGCAAAGCTTTCTTCTCATGCTTTGGTTTCATAAACAGGATTTGCCTACATAGAGAGAAAATGCAGTTCTGTTTCAATGCTACAAATGTTTTGATTCATATGACATTAATATACATAGTAATTAATAAATAGCCATCTGATATTTTTTTAAAAACTGGTCAGCAACAGTAGTGTATTTAGACGGGGTCAGTAATTCAGCAACCAAATTAGTTACTTACTTTCTTTATGCTGACAGTTGGAAGGTGTCATGCACTGGTTCCACAGTAGGCATCTACTTTAAAAAAACAAATGCTCCCTCTCCCCATTCTATGTCTGTATAATTCCAGCTCTGACTCTCTACTTCATTTGTTACAGAATTCCTCTCTTTGACATCTCCTTCTAGCTAAAAAGGTCTGTCACCCATTGTTGCGGAGCACATCTTGACCTTTAGTAAATAAAAAAAATCCCATATTGGATATCATTTAGAAGTGAAACTTCAGTGGTTTTAAAAAAAATCTTTAGACTGTAGTTTTTTCGTGAGCTATATAGATTGGCATTAGAACTTTGTTTCCTTCTTTACATGGACTAATAATGTCTTATAGAGACTATTGAAGAAACGAGAGGTGATGTGGGGGATGGGCTGGGGGATTGACAGTGTGTTCTGGTTCCCACCNGAAGAAACGAGAGGTGATGTGGGGGATGGGCTGGGGGATTGACAGTGTGTTCTGGTTCCCACCTAAGCTAAATACAGGGTGGTCTATGGTGAGTTCTGAATTCAGTCTCAATTTCTAGCCAAAAAACAATCTGATCAGCTTATATCCTTGTTAGTTCATTACATGTCTTTCATTTACCAGTTCTTGAGAGGTTGTATGTCTAGATCAGACATATGTGTTAAAAAATAATCAGAAATTTAGTCAAAGTGAAAACTAATTCCTGGAAATGACCCCCAGCAATACAGCAGGTAGGTTGATAAAACAGCATAATCTCCAACTCCCTGTATCCTACCACCTTTCTAAACAAAATTTTACTTCTTATTTATGTTTTGTACATTTCTGTAGCTTCAAAGTAAATGTAAACATAGAATCAAATGTGAATAGACCTTGTATCTTAGTTATATTGAACTTTTTATCGTGAACAAATTCAATATACAGCAAAGTAGAAAAGAATAGTAATAGCAATAGCCAATTACCCACCAAATAAGTAGAACAATTGCTAACATCTTATCACATTTATTTTACTTTTGTTTTACTGAACCATTTCAAAGTAAATGAAACACCAAAACACTTTATTCATAAATACTTAACATGCATCTCTAGAAAAATAATATTCTCCTGCACAATCTCAGTACTACTATCGCACCTAACACAATTAAAAATAATTCCCTAAAATCTTCTAGATATGTAGATCATATTCAGTTACATAGATCATCTTAATACCCAGTCCATATTCTAATACCTAATCTACATTCATATGTCTTTTGTAGCTATTTGAGTATAGCTCCAATTAAGGATCACGTGTTGCAATAAAACACATGGTTTTATTAAGAGAATGTTATCAGAATACCATAAGCCCCCTTTTAGCCTCTAACAATTTTTCAAGGTAAAAACATAGATACTTTTCGCTAACATTTGATGAAGTGCTTTACCACATGAAGAATAATGTTCTTAAGAGAGATTAGCCTAGTATAGATAAACACTTGCCCAGCAGAAAATAGTTCTTTACTTCTAATCACATATACATGTATACGTATATGTGTGTGTGTGTGTGTGTGTGTGTGTGTGTGTGTGTGTGTGTGTGTGCATAATACTATAATCAGACATTCCTGTCTTTGGCCATTTTTATTATCTGTGAAATAGATATATTCATCTGGCATTATTTTATTAGAACATATTGATTTTTTTAACTGTATTTTTTGAACCCATGTATGCTGCTGCCACTAGAATTTTTACCCAAAGCCATAGTACTCATTACATTATTATTAGGGAAGGTTTTTGATTTTGTTTTGTTTCTTATTTGTGATTCCCACAATGTAACTTCCTATTATATTGCACTTAAAGTGATCTTTAAGAGGTTTAATTACAACCCCAATCAATATAAGCAGTTATGAAGCTTTATATTCAGGAAGAATTACTAAATCTCTGTGAAAGATGTTTGCCTCCTCTTTTAGTAATTTATTCAGATCAAACATCCCAAGCTAGCATTAAACAAAGTTATGTTAGGTTATTGTTCCTTCACCAAATGATTTTTCATGTTCAAAATAAAGTAATTGAGAAAAGGTGTAGGAATATGAGAGACATTTAAGGTAAAAATATTAGTCTTGGGGGAGAATACTTACTTTGTATTTGGGCATATACAGAATCTTTAAGTTCACTAGGTTTAATTTTTTAAGGGTGTCATAAGTAAAGCCATTCATATTTTGGTTGCTAATTTTGAGTGCCTTGAATATAATAAGTAACTAGTTATGATGTGCCCAGAATGTGCCAGGGCACCAAATACTTTACCCCAGCTCTTTATCACTTGAGTTTTACAGAACCTTGCACTCCAGTGCCAAATTTATAATGATATCCATTAGACATCCACAGAATTTATAGACTGGTGATGAAAAGACTTCAGGTAGGGTCTAGAATACTGTACTCAATTTTTCTTAAATTTACATTGAATTTTCAACATTTTAAATAAAATATTTTAAATATCACAAGACCACTAATGTGGCAGTGAGTTTTAGCTGAGCCATGATCTATTACTGCAAAACAAAACAAAAAAGGAAAAAAATCTTAAAAACTAGCATCAATGCTTTTGGAATTAATTTTATATAAATATGGAATCC